CTATAAGCTCCTTGGTCTTACTGATATTAAGAGCCAAATTGTAGTCCATTTGGGAGTTCTTGACCTAAATGAATTCCATAATGATGAGGTTATTCCCAATGACAAATTAAATACACTGAGACACCTGAAAAGCTCTTCTACAAAAACAAAACAAAACCATTTACTTGTGATTTTAGAGTAGGAGCTTCCAACATTTGGGCTGGAGTTATTGGGAATGTTGAAAACAATTTGTGAGGACTTTCACAGAACAGCTCCTTGGGGTTTATAGCCATTTCACAGAATGATAATCATAAGAGAAATAGCCAATTACAAAGTAAGATTTAACTCTGAAACCTCCTATCTTTTCTAACTCCCACCCGGTAGGATATTTCCCACTATCCCTGCATACCTTCATCTTATTTCTGGAAAGGTGAGCAGAGTTTCAAATAAAATACTGCTCTGCACTATTCATTACCTTTATTTTCCTTGAAAGCTTATAGGAGCCATTTATATTTCAGAGGATTTCTTAGAAATACAGGTTATGCTTAAGGGTAGTGCTTCTATTTTCAGCATGCTATTTTTTCACAGGTAATAAAAAAACCTGTGAAAAAGTAGGGCAGGAAGCCCTAGGATTCATCAAGGGAAGTCTCTGCAGGGACACTTGTGGTGCACCTGGGCACCAGGTTGGAGATTCCTGAACTAGGGCTTTGGAGGCTAAGTTTGAAAAAATTCTCAATGGGTTATGACATTATTTCAAAGGATAAAGCAGAGCCTTGCACAAATTCCATGAAGATCTCATGAGAGTGTGAGCAATAAATTTTGGTGCTTTTTCATATTTAAAGATTTATCTTGAGAATATACTGTGGCAGGTTTTTGCTATCACCATCATTATAAGTAATGGTTTTACAGAACAGAAAGTTTGATTTTTTTAAAAAAGCATTATGCCTTGCATTTCCTCTAGGAGCACTCAGTAGGACATCTGTTTCTACATGTTTTTCAACCACAGTTTCTATTGTTCCCAGATCAAATAGGCAACTTGTTATTTAGTATTATTTATCTATTTATTCAATTATATAGCCAACCATGTATCAGAAGGAACTCTGGGTGGTGAACAAAATAAAAATACAATACAATGAAAAGAGAATTGAACACTGATGCCCCGATAAAACTCACCTTCATCCACCAACCACCCCATGCCAGCTCCCTCAACATCCTGGCCCCATGCCTGGAGGAAAAGCCAGGTCTTCACTGCTTTCCTGAAGGCCAAGAGGGTCACGGCCATCTGTATCTCCAGGGGGAGGCTGTTCTCTAAAGCAGGCATAATAACAGAGAAGGCATGCTTCTGAGAACCCAGCAGGTGACATTGTTTCAGAGAAGGAACCTGGAGCATGCTGATCCTATCCAATCTAGTAGGATGGGCAAAAACCATTGGAGACAAGCGGTCCCAGACATAACCTAGAGCATGTAGGCTTTTAAAGGTGACACCTAGCACCTTGAATTGCACCCAGAAGCCTACTGGCAGCCAGTGCAGCTCACACAGCAGTGTGAGCATAGGGAGGTGCGCCCACTACTGCTTATGCCACTGCGTTCTGGACCAGCTGCAGCTTCTAAATGCCTTTCAAGGGCAGACTCATGAATAGCACATTGCAATAGTCCAACTGGGAAGTGACTAAAGCATGAGTGACCATATCTAGGAAAGGGCACAACTGTACAAAATGTTGTACACCGCCCAGAGTCACTTTGTGTGAGATGGGTGGCTATATAAATGTGACAAACAAACAAACAAACGTGTTTCTTCAAAGCCCTCCTCAACACAACTGCTACCTGCTCTTTGAGCAGGAATCATGAGTCCAGGAAAAACCCCAGATTGCGCACCAGCTCTGACTGGAAAGTATTACCTCAACTAGAGTTAAAGATGGCAAATCACTAGATATGAGTAAACCTAAAACCCATATCGACTTGGTCAAAGCCAATTCTTTCCCATCCACACCTGTACAGTTTCCAGGCACTGGGAAAGCACTTCAATGGCATCACATGGACAGCCTGGGACAGAGATGCACAGCTGAGTATCATCAGCACACTGATGGTACTTAACCCCATACCGACCGATGACCTCATCCAGCAGTTTCATGTACAGTAGATGTTAAATAGGAGTGGGAAGGAATCGAGTCCTGCAGCACCCACAAAGCAGAGGCCTAGGGCTACATGTCTCCCCTCTTCCAACACTGGAATTGGTTTTGGAAGAAGGAGAACCACTGAAAAACTGAGCCTTCCACTCCCAATCACCTCACCTGGCTCAGAAGTATACCATAACTGATGGTATCAAAAGCCAGCAAGAGATCAAGTAAGGCCAGGATGGATATACACCATCATCCTAGGCCCACCAGAGGTCATCCACAAGTGTGATCTATACTGTTCAGTGCTATATCCTGGCTTGAAACCTGACTGTAATGGGTCCAGATAATCTGCTTACTCCAGATCCCTTTGAAGCTGTAAGGCCTACCATCTTCTCAACAACCTTCCCCAAGAAGGGAAGGTTGGATTAATGTTGTCTAGCACTTCTGGGTCCAGTAATGATCTCTTGAGTATGGGATAGACCACCTCCTTAAAGGCAGGCAGAAGCCTCTCCTCACAAAAAGAAGCATTCACTATCATCTGGACCCATCTGCATGTCACCTCCTGGGAGGCTGTGACCAATGAGGGACAGGTATCAAACATACAGGTGGTAGAACTCAACAAGCCAAAGACCCTGTCCACATCCTCAGGAGTAACTGGATCAAACTCAGCCCAGATAACTGGAGTCCTTGGGGTTCTCTGAGCATGGTTCTTTTCTTGCAAACGTTTCATAAATGTTTCAAGAAAAGAACCAAGCTCAGAGAACCCCAAGGGCTCTTGTAGTTCAACCCTGAGCTACAGATATTCACCTCTATTGGATAAGACCTAGCCCAATCATCTCCACAGCACCTGCACAGCCAGAGTCTAATTCTTAGTGGACCCAAATTCCTTTATCTGGCTTCACATAATCTTCATAGCAGCCCCACAAGGGTTTCCTTCACCCCTCCTCACCAAGAAGGGTCAGAGTCACCGAAAAAAGGGTCACTGCGTGGCTATTTGTGGATGCAATAGGGTTGATGCTAGTGGCAAATGGACACTCCAAGTTTCAGAACTGCAGTGCATGCTTGCAAGACATATACTGTACTTGCAGCCTAAGAAATGCTGAATGTCTAGCCTTGCAGTTACTCACTCAATACTGCCTCTTCAATTATGTTGTTTTAAAGAGCAGAGTATAATCTAATTGAGTCACCTTTTTTCTAGCCTAGCTGGTTAATCACTATTTCTAATGCAGAAATATATTCAGGCCCCTTCCACACAACAGTATTGCCAATCCAAGTTCACAACATCACTGTGGAGCTTAACTGGAGCTTAGGAAGTTGACCCAAATAAATACTGACTCAGCTCTTGTTCCAAAGGACATACCATGAAAGTAGCTTTGCAGCATTTTCTCTGATATGCAAGGCAGTGATTTCCCAATGGAGGGAAATTCCACATTGGTGTCAAGAAAACTACATGGACATCCCTCCTACTAGGGTGGACCTTTCCCTGAAGAGCAAGTCTGTGACTTGGGGCTCCTTCTGGACTCCAGGATCCTGCTAGAAACAGCAGATGGAGGCTGAAGCCAGGCTGGAGTGGGGGAGGAGCACTTTGCCCAGCTTTAGTTGGTGCACCGTCTGCTGCCCTACCTGGAGCAGGAGGTCCTTCTACAGTGACTCACTTCCCTCATCTCCAGCCATTTAGACTACCATAACATACTCCACCTGGAGCTGCCTTTGCAGATCATTTGGAGGCTGCAGATAATTTAGAATGCTGCAGTTTGTGTGCTTATTGGCATTTGCTGGACCTATGCTGTTTTTTTAAAATTTGTTTTATTTTTATTTTATCAAGATTACAAAAGATAAACAGAATTGCAAAAGGTAAACTAACAAGGAAACTATAGAGGACAACTATTAAACACGCCAAAAAAATCTAAACAGAAAAAGAAAAACAAGAAAGAAATTACTAAATATCTAAATATATCACTTATAGATCAGATATTAAACAAAAGATACCTTATAATACTCTTTTATTATTAAATAGAAAAAAATAACATGACGATACTACTCTGTTGTAATGAAATATAATGAAATCTATGTCAGAGAGAAATATATTGCTTCATTTTCTGACTAGTATCTATTGTAGGCAGTAAATCGTAATGGTCAAATATAATCTACAGTGCCAACATAAATTTGAAATAACATTATTTCTGTCAATTAAGTGGCAGAGTAATAGTATATCCATTAAGTAACAACTCCTTAAAACTAAGTGAAGAAGGAAGAAGAATTCCACAATCAGAAGACTATCACAAAGAGGAGGTGTCCCATGTTTTTACCAACCTAACCTGCTTTGGTAGCTGGTTATTCAGAAGGTCTGTTTGTTAAATTGGTCCAAAAAGAGAATATGGTAAGCTAAAAGACTCCCATAGAATGGAATGGCATGGAACATGAATTATGTGCGGGTCCTGCATCTAAAAAATTAGAACTATTTTTCTCACAAATGTTGGATATAGAGGCAAGGAAAAGGGGGAAAAAAGACATTCATTTAATAACCATTTATTCAGTTCATAAAATTCAGCAGCAAACCTGGCAAAATTTCTTTTAGAAACATATCTCATGGAATGACACAGAATTAGTGCCAAACCTTGTATAGCCATCTTTTCTATGGGTTTTTTTAAACTAAGAAATAAATGTGGATATATCTTATCTTACTGTAGAAAGAAAGAAAAATGGTTCAGATTCCACTCTGAATTCCTCCATGTATTAGAAACATAACTTGTGAAAAATTTTAAGTCATGCAACTTGACTTGTCAGTGGAAATGTATATCAGTTTCTGATAAATTGTGCTTTGATTTTAAAGAAATGAAATTTAAAAGTATATATAAGCAATGTTCAGGAACTTAAACTATTGTACTTTGTTTTTCTAGATCCATTTATGGCTTTTGAAGATACTTTGTACTGAATCTTTAGAATCAAATTTACTTTACCAGATTTGCCTCTGATGTCCTTTGAGATTTATCTCCTACACACACACACACACACACACACACACACAGAGTCAAGGGAAGTTTATTTTACCATTTCTTGTGCAACATCATCAGGAGTTTCTTTTTCCAATTCAAAAGTAAACTCAATGGCTCCATTATCTTTGGGTTTTCCTTTCAGTTTCTTAGGATCTTCTACCCAGAGTCTTAAGGCAATAGAGGATTTCCTACCATCATCTTCTTCTGCAAGTTCCACTCTTACCCCAGTATCTTCAGCAAAAAAGGCATGGCTTAGTAAATCTTTAATTTCATATCTGAAAAAAAGAACAGCACAACAGATTTTAAGTCCATTTTCTCCTCTATTCTTTAAGGAACAAAGAGCTGCATATTGTTTTAGTGTTATTGTTGATAACACGCATATGTATTAGAACTTCTTCGATACTATAGATCTTTCTTAGTTTTCATGAAAGATCAAACCAAAAATATGATTTCAATATCTATAATATTTAATACAATGGTTTTTAAATCACCATAGTAAAATAGCAAGTGTTTTCTGTAGTGATTGCCAAATGTGTGGTATAATAAGCATCACACCATTTGTTTATTTTTATTTATTTGTTCATTGCATCAGTTTACATTAGCATGAGCTTTGTTCATGATAAGCCAAGAATCTGTATAATTCAGGCATAATATTGCATATGAACTTCATTAAGGAAGTCTGATTATACCAATTGATCAAGAAAGTGATCAAATATATCAAGAAAGTAGCCAGCAGAAGAAATCTGTCATTATTTCAAATCTCTATCCAAATCCTCAAATATGTTACATGTGTTACATGTTTTTGAATGGTATTATTAAAAATACAAGCAGCACCCTGCAGGATCAGACCTAGGGTCCATCTATTCCACCATTTTGTCTCCAGTTACAAACCTGTCTGTCAGCTAAAATCTATTACTTATTATGTTTAATCTATAAACATAAATTATTTAATCTATTTTTAACTTTTTATGTTCTGTTTTTATTAGCTTGCCCAAGGAGAAAGGCAAGATGTATATCAAATTAGTTTAATAACAGAATTAGCATATTGGCCAAAATACTATTGCAAAATGGAAAAATATCCTCAGAGTTTATACTTAAATCTTTTTTTTTTTAATCCATGAACTATTAAAAACAAAACACAACACAGATAAACTGAGAGGTTGGGCAAAATAGATAACTCTTTAAAAGATAACAGAAAGGTATAAAAAAAAGGGCAGATATGTATCTTGGGTAGGACATTTCTTAACTGAACGCAGCCACGCATGCAAGATATACAAGAAGGCCCCTTTAGAAAAGGTAAACGATGGATTTTAGACACCCCAGGCCTAATATCATAGCCTAAGTTGGGTTTAACACAACTAGACCTGATACCAGAAATTGGTAGTAAATGCATTAAAAAGCCACATTGCCCAGAAAACTAACCAAGATTTAAAATGCTGCAGCAGCAAAAACAAAAAACCAATCAGATGTAGTTTTCAGTATTTTGGTCTTTTAGAAGACCAATCCCATGTAAATCCTTCTAGAATCCAAATGAAAGGTTTAAAGCACGCACCACCACCACAGCCTGCTTTTATTTCTTTAGGAACACGTGCAGCAGGATGGTATGACTCCTAGCTGCAACTATCACCTGACATTCAGGTGAAAGTCAAATCAAGGAGAACTTTAGAGCTGTCAGGCTGACTTAAAATGGAGTTCAGCTCTATTCAAATCTGACAATAACCCAATTTTTTTTATCTGACTAGGTAGTCCCTTAGACAAGCGTAGTCTGAGCTTTCACTTGTTAGTGTTCATCAAATCTTTCACAAATCCTAAGTATTGATTTAGGGTTCCTATAACCTTTCTGAAATCTGATGGAAAAGAATAAAGCTGGGCATCACCAACATGATGATGACATCAATTTCAACTGCCTGAATGATTTGCCTCGGTGGTTCCCTGAAGATATTAAACCCATCCTTTATTGAATCTGTTGTATAAAAATTTGTATACACTTGTACATGAATAAGAAGCCCCATATGTACAATTTTTGTGGGTTTTTTTCCTTTTTCCTTCTTTTTCCATTATGTTTAATTAAATAAATAAATGCAATTTTTAAAACCTGTAGAAGGATTAAAATAGAATCTTGTGCGCTACTGTATCCAACAGCTACTTGTCCAATATAAATCTCCATGCACTATTTTCTGGTACGTACTTCAAGAAAGCCCCATACCGTTCTGTTATGGATATACAATCCAGAAGGATATTCTGATTGATGGTGTTAAAATTTGCTGAGAAGTCCTCAAAATTTACAGAAACACAGTCACGCTAGCCAGATTCCAAATAGGTACTAGTCAAAGTCCCCATAATAACCATATTAGTTTCTATCTGGCTATTAACTATCTTAAACAGATCTATATAATTAGATTAGATCCATCAATTTAAAATAGGTACTAGCCAGCTCTTGTCAGTTTTCTGCCTCCACCCCAAGAAATTACTTCAAAATGTGCTTAATTTGGGCTATGGTATGTTTTAAAGACAACAGAAATTTACTATTTGAAACAAACCTCTCTTCTTTATTTTTGCAAATGCACTCTCCAATTATCTCCTTAATTTCAGGATCAGTAACTTTATCAAAACTTGCTGGTTTGACACCCTGCATGGGGGGAAAAAACATAATTAAGTTTCTCTGGCATTTTCATTCTAGGTCTACACATCATAGCTTTGAGTTTAAATATAACATTAAACTTGCTTAGGACTCCTATGTAGTCTAATATACATTAAACTATAATATATGCTGCAATGAAGCTAAAGTCAGCATTAACATTGATTTTGAATTTTAATTCATTAATTTAATTCAATTTTAGAAGACAGACACCTTGTAGGGGGAAAACTGAACAATCCTAAGCTTCTGGGATTCTGCTCCAGAAACCTAAAAGATCTGTTTTCTTAAGTTAAAAAAAAATAGTTTTGTTTAAATTGTTAACAAATTAATTTATCTGTTATCTATTTATTTTATCTATACCTCAGAGCAGCTTTTCTAATTAGTTAATTGGTTTCATAAAGTTTTGATACTGTTCCACTACAGCCTACTTTAAAATGATTGTAAAATAATTAAAAAGTCCCTCATGACTTTGCTCCAAATTTAAAGGTAATCCTTACAGATTTACATTTTGCAAAAAATGAAATGTTAACTGTGTCAGGTAAGTTTTCTTTTCAGAGTACACTTTTACCAGAAGACTTTGTGAATGTCTTGGAAAAAGATTTTTACCTGCTGACAGCTACAAGCTTTATGAGGCACATAAATTGATTTAAATGTTAATTAATCACTTGGCTGAGAGAGAATTTCTTTTTAATCGGTCAGGTTAAACTCTTCTAGGAAACTTCACCATCATTCTGAGCTCTCTATATCAGCCTTCTCAGTCTGTCCTTGATTACCTTTTTAAGGTAAGTATAGGAATACATACCAATGATGTAAATTAATGTTTGTACATGTTAGGGGTTTAACAAAATTTCTTACAAAACAGTAAGTGCAACGTGTGCTTATATAACATGATTGGTCAGGTGGTACTTTGTGCCTTTCCCCACTAACCTTGTAGGAAAGCAAAGGATGTATCTGCATGACCAGTTCTGATAATCAAGCTTGGGAAATGCGTATCGTATCACACGTTGCTTTATTAGACAAACTGACTTTATGAAATAACAGTACTTTCCCCAAAAAACACTGAATTTAAGATTAAAAGTTTAGCGCATTAAAGGACAGCCACAGAATAGTTATTTTAAACTCTGAAAGCTTATTTGTTTCATGCAGATTTAATCATTTAATGAAAGAGTTCCATTCTAGGCTGTTTACAAAGGACATTAAATAAGAATCAGGCACAAACATAACTAAGAAATATTAACAAAATGTACCAACAAGACAAAGACTTTGTTGAAAGAGAAATAGAATAATAATAATTGGAGTGTTCATAGTGCACTCTTCCTACAATCTAAGGACAACAGCCAGCTTTTTGTAAGTGACCTACAAAACAGGCCTTTCTCTCATTTTCCTTTAGCGTGACTCCATCATCTACTCTACAAGGTCCCTCAGATATGCAAAGCAGATTTTGAGGCTGTGTCTGTACTTTAGCGAGGAGAGGATTCTGTTCTCCTGCTGCAAATAAATATAGGGGCATCTTGGGGGGAGGGGGGTGTCCAAAAAGTAAAATGCAGCTGTGAGCTCAAAGCCTTGTCCCAGTTTTAGGTGCATCTTGACTTTTCTGGATGCTGCTGAACGGTTACCTGTGGATTTCTGTCTGAATGGATTAGTCTTTCAGGCTTCATTTCTTCAGTAATCCTTACATTAGTTTGGTATGGCAAACAAATATTATTATCACTTTATTGCAGATATAGGTAAGGTAAAAGATCAAACTAAATGTTCATGCAAAGATATATGTGACAGTCTCCTGATGTCCTTTTTAAAAGGAAAAGTAGCAGGTAGCTATAAATGTATACTACCGAGTTTGGAAATTCTTAACCCTTTCCCGAGGCTGTTTTCTGTCCAAAACCAGCCTCTGAAAGAGGCTTTCTCATACACCTTGCTACATCAACATCCAAAAGCAGATGACACAATAAATATGTAATCTGTGACAAATGTAATCTTGGCACAAATCAAAACAAAGAACTGTTTTAGATTGCACTGAGCGGTAAGAGCTTGTACTTTAAAATAGTGTATGAATTTGTCTTCACATAGATTTCAGTTTTTCACTTACTGAAAAATATACAAGTTCCACAATCCATGTTTGATCTTAAACTGACAGTACAGTTTAGTTCAAATACTGAACTAAATATTTCATGAAAACAAAGTAAAAAAAAATGCATGTAGTTATGCAGACCCTCATAATATTTATAGGAATCTCTGCAGAATAATCCATATAACTTTTTCTCCGTTGCTGTTTATTTATTCATAGTTAATGTAATAGACTGGATCCTAAACAAGTTAGTTCCACTCAAATCAGTGGCAAAGTCAATCTTGATTTCATGAAGCATCATTGATTTGAGCAGAAAATAATGTAGACTGAATACAACCCATTATATTTTAATATCAAGAGCAAACCAAGATAAAAGAACAACAATAGCAAGCCTCCTGAGTTTACATGCCATATCAATGATGGTTAGTCACAAGTGTAGCTGAATGAAAGAAGATAGATAGGCCAATGTTACATGGAACCAGAATAAAGCACAAAGCTGTAAGTGACGCTAGAGGCAAAAGTAAATTGACAGGCATTCATACAAATTCACACAACCATATCCATTGACCATTATAAGTATACAGTGCAAGTGAGCTTCCAAAAGTACAAGAAATATTTATTTTATATATAAATAGACAGAAATCACACGCTTACACAATCTTCTAGTAGTAATCTAACAAGGAACTTGCTCTATCTTTATATCATATTGGGTACATCTCTAGTTGTCACCTCATTTTTTGGAAATGTCAGAATTCTACATGGTACTTGCAGAGGCATTTTCAGGAAATAAAACTGGTGCCTGGAGGATAGAACTTGTTTTGTAGCATAGAGGTTTTTATTTTAAACCACCCAGAGTCACTCATTGAGTGAGATGGGCGGAGACTAAATTTGGAAAATAAATAAATAAATATATAAAAATACGGTGCCTCCAAAAATAATTCATTTTTTTCAAATATATTATAATCAGTTTGTATTTGATAAAGTGCCACACTCTTCATTATTCAAAATGTTATTATGTAGTCTGGCATTTAAAAATACACAAAAATATATCTATTAAAGAAGGAAATAGAAACAAATTGCATGAATGAAAGCAAAAAGAAAAAAGAAAAATTAATTGTAGAATTTTTGTAAATTAACACTGAAACAAGTAACAAAGCATGTCATTAGTAAAATGAGAAACGGAGCAAATCTGAAAAAACACAGATACTATTTCTACATATTAAAGAGAGTGGCTAGGATAGG